GATAAAAACAAACAGAAGAAATAAATCAAAAACAAACAAAAAAAAACGCCACAAGAAACATATACAGATGCACACACACATACACACATATTTTCACACACAGGAATCCCATAAAAACACAAAATGGAAGCCAAAATATACACATAAATTACCTGTAAGGTTACAAAAAAAAAAAAAAAGCTTTGACAGGGCAATATAAAACAAAGAACCTCCAAAGATACCACTGAATTTGTTTTGTGTTAGCTATCTACTGCTGGGCATTGTGTTTGCATCTCCCGTGAGACTACAATGGAGAGAACTGGTTTTTCGTTTGTGAGTGGTTATCAACTGGCAATAGCTTCTGGGTTAGGAATGGGGCTTGTTTTAAATTTGCCTCTTGGCTCTGGGACCTCATCTGGTGCAGACCCAGGCAGGCTCTGTGTATGCTGTCACAGTCTCTGTGAGTTCATATGTGCACCAATCCTGCTGTGCTTAGAGGGCCATGGTTCCTCCATCCCCTCTGGCTCTTACACTCTTCCTTCCTGTTTCTACGTGGTTCTCTGAGCCCTGAGCGGGGGCGGGTAGGATTTGATGAAATATCTCCATCAAATCCCACTCAGAACTTGGACTGAGTGTTCCAAGGTCTCTCACACTGTGCACACATGTCTGACTGTGGGTCTCTGTATTTGTTCCAAACCATTGCAAGAGGAAGTTTTTCTAATGATGATTGGAACAAGGCATGGATCTATGAATATAGCAGAATATCATTAGGAGTCTTTTTTCTACAATCCTTATTCAGAACAGAAGTATTTGGTGTTCCCCTTAGTTCTCTGAGCTATTGAGTCTCATGGTTTTTGGCCACCTAAGCAGTGTTGGGGATGGCTTCTATTTCATGGAGTAGGCTTTAAGTCGAATCATATTCTGGTTGGCTACTCTCATAAGCTTTGTGTCACTATTATACTCGCATATCTTGCAGACGGATCACCATTGTAGATTAAAGGGTTGATGTTTACCTTTTTCCTTTGGTAGCACACAGAGTATCTTCCAGTAGTACAGACACTAGTGTGTAGTGGTAAAGGCTCTAGGTAGGAACCAGCTTGACTTCTCTGTGTTCAATGAATTGTGTAGGTGTTGTCTTGAGCAATACAGACTTGCTGTCAGTTTGTGGAGAGCAGCCAATAACGCTGGCAATAGCCTGGGTTATTGGAGGTTCCCATGGGGTCCTTTTGGCCAACAACTAGACTAGATATAATCCATTCCTGTCTTCATTTACTGATGAAAGATGTCTAGTCTGGGCTCCCTCACTCCCCTCATTTGGTCCTCCCATTCCTGCCCCACCCAGTCCATCTATACCTATCTATTCTATTTCCCCTGTCTAGGGAAATCCAGTCTTTCCCCCTAGTCCCTTATTTTATGCCTATTTATCAATTCAACAAAAATTTACTTAAAATCCTATGAGTATTGAGCATTAGAGAGCTTTTGCTAATCAAGAACAAGTCCTGTTCTCTTGTATTAATACCCTATCCAAAGACATGCAGATAAGACAAAGAAAAAAATGAAATATTGAGAGACCAAAACTTAGCTAAGTCCACACAGGAATCATATGGCAAAGTCAAGGAAACATTAATCTACCTGACTCTAAAAAAAATTACCCTAAAATCACATAGCAGGTTTTTCCCGTACATTCGCTATGCCTTAAAAGAAACATAAGCAGATGTGGGACCATGGTTCTAAAAACAGTCATGGGAGAACTCATAGCTTTTATAGGACAAATATAAACTGTCTTTAGAATAATCAAGAGTTGAAATTTTATTATAAATTATTTTCATGAACACAAAGCATCCTAAAATATTTTCTACATGTATGATTTATTAACTATATAAATTTTGTCAAGATACAGACATTTCTAAAAATATTTAAAAGTTTGAAATACTTTACAATACAATTGCTTAGGTGAACTTGTTATTTTACAAAATACCAATGAATTTTTTCAATAAATATACATATAAGCAAACTTGACTAACTTTAAAGATTAACCAAATGAAAACTCCATTTTATATGTATAATTATGGAAAAATTGGGCATTCTTCAAAATTTATGAATTATTGTTGTAGAGCAATATTGAATTTTCTAGAAATCTAAAATAAATAAATTATTGTTTTTCTCTAAGCTATTTGGAGAACGCAAATTAAAAACTTTTGAAAGACAAGTAAGATGGCTCAGCAGATAAAGATATCTGCTGCCAAGACCAATGACCTAAGCTGAAGACTCTGGAACCCTGATGATGTAAAGAAAGAACTAACTCCCAAAGGTTGTGTTCTTATATCCATCAATATTCTGTGTCATTCTTGTGCCCTACTCCCCACTAAATAAAATGCAACAAAAAGTCTGAATGCACACAGTAAATTGTTTAAATATTTTAAAAAGCAAATGTACTCCCTATCAGAAGTCACATGACTTTCCTGTTTTGTTGTTTCTCTACTATATGTACAAACAAATATGCAAGGGACGGTTTGTTTATCATTTTAATGTATGGGAGTAATACGCAGAATGTAGAATTCACAGGGGGTTCAAGAAGGTCAAAATCTTTGTTCTACAAAAGTATTGTTTTCATCATAACCCTTTGACTAGCTCTTACAGAAAATATATATGCTGACTCAAGATGTCTAAACAAAACATTATCTTTGGGTAAGTTTATTTCATTAAGATGAAAATCCTGGTCCTTTGAAAAATCAGGCATTAATTTTTATCTTACCAGGCCTTCAATTTCAGTCCAAGAACTGGTTGACAAATGCTGTGGTCCAATGCCTCCCTTAATGACTGCCATTTACAAAGTATCCCCAATCCACTTTGTAAACTATGATTATATATGTAAGAAAAACTTACAAGGATAACTTTATCAATTAGCCCCATAGGCAACTGTTTACATGGAATACTTGAAAAGTGATGGATACTAACACTTCCCTTTTCCTAACTTCACACATATTATTGTCAGCTCTTAATTCTCTCCCTCACTTCCACTGACCTGCTTTTCTAACATTCAATCAGGGATGCTGTATCCCAATTCAATCCATTCCAAAGCCTAGTTGAATCTGTCCCTCTGGAGAAGGTCAATGCTGTGGCCTGCTTCTCTTTACATTCATGCCAGTAATCCCATTTGGATTCTTGGGTTTATGAGCAATCAAACTGCACCTTCTGAGTCCATTCACTCTCAAAGTAACTGGAACCTGCTAACACCTCCCTTTGATTCTTCTTTCACTTATAAAATTGAATCATCAAAGAGACATTCTACAAGAACCAGCACCCACATTCATCCACCCACCTCCATCTGTTGTTCTCCTTCCTTCCTTTCTATTACAAGAGTCAACCCGGCTATCTCACTTTTCTCTCCAGATCCAGGGATTGCCTCGGCATCTCTTTCCATTTTCCCCAGCAGATCATCACTTTTCCCTTCTCCCACGGACATCCCTATCACCATAACATATGTCTTAATGTTCCCATTTCAAAAGGAACAAAATAAAAAATATGGACAAATTAGCTCTCTAGAGCTCTCTTTATCTAAAATCCACCTAATTTTCTGCTCCCCTTCATGAAGAAATTTCTGTCAGGGGTTTCTGTGTTCAGTATTTCCATTTTTATAGTGTTTCTTATTCTTTCTTAAAAATCTACTCATTAGTTTCTGCTGACACATCTCCTGTAAAATCAGGGTTCTCATGATCAGCAATGGCCCAGTCCTGCTAACAACAGTCATATGTGCTCAGGTTTCATATTGCACTTTAAAAGGTTAATTATGGATGCTTATTTGAAACACTTCCTTCACTTGACTCACAGCACTTTGCAGCTACCTAATTTTACCCTTCCTTAATACTCACCACCTTTTTTGGCTGAGATGTTCCATTAGAGCCAAATCCTTACTCATCTGCTCCTTTTGGTTTATATTTTTTTCACTTGACAAAATAATCTAGTTTGTGACTTAAATATCACTGACATTTAGTCAACTCCTAAATTTCCACACTGAGACCAGACTCTCCTCTCACCGTCTGTATCTAGTCAGCAGATGTTTAATAAATACCTCACAATTAGCATGTCAAATGCAAAATAAATTGTTGACATTTTTCAAAACGTCTAGGTTAAAAAATCTTCTGAGAAGCTGATCAAGACAAGTAATTACTGGTTTGTTGATGATGTTCAAGGTATTCATTGTGAAAGTGAACATGTGGACAATACAATATCAGAAAGTCAAACGAGGAACCTTCAGATCATAGAGCAGATAGGAAAACTGTGATGAGGATAGAGAAAGGAGGGAAAGATTGTTATGAATGAGGTTCTCAGACATTGTTGCCAGGTTAGTAGAGAAGCCTTGAGCAATGGTAGCCACTGAGGAGTGTCCTAACTCTTAGAAATGGAACTGAATTGTCATAGTTCATAGAGAAAGATCACAGCTGACTTATACTGCCATCACACTCCCCCTAAAAGGAGGGCCAAGCAATGCATCTTCTTTGCACCATAGTCAGCCAATTCATGTGGCTCCCCAGATTTTCTGCAGGCATTTCAGGCCCAACATCTTCATGAATCCCTAGAACCTCTTAGGACACGAGTAGCTTGGGACAAAAAAGGTAGATGGAATGAACTAAACCCTCAGTACTGTTGGCCTCTTAACAACTTTTCGTTGTCCTCTCCCTCCCTCACAATTTATAGCACCTAATCGCAGGACATTATTTTCCACACTACAGCTTAACATCCTAAAGAAATGATAAAGAAAATTCTAGTCATCTTCTGGTGGACTTGAACAATCATTTTCTTTCAAGAAAACATTTTTTTAAAGTCATTATTGTGTGCTGAAGCATATTTCATTATGGTTCACAGTATTATCATTTCCATCTGTTATTAAAGAAAGAGAATGCATAAAAATGGTATAGCAGAGGAATTTTCAAAATATTCTAAACCCTATT